ATAGATTTAATAGATTTAAACAATCCTTGATGAGGATTTAAGACGTTTACACAGTCCTTCATGAAAACGTCCCCTGTTCTGGGTTTTAAGTGACCTGCCCTGTAGTTCCCACCTGCCCGCTCCGGTTTGTGTCTCACTGTTGATTGTGAAGAGGCCTCAGGCTTCTCCTTCGTCTTATTCTGTGTCTGTGTCACCATGTGTCCCTAACAGGAGGAAAGTGAAACTTCCGTCTTCACAAGGCCCCCCACACTGTCTTTATTAATCTCCCAGGCAGCTGTCAAGCAGTAGAGATCGCCGACACACTTCAGAAACAGCTCACCTTGAACGCTGTAGACTTCAGCTCAGGGAGTGAAACAGAGGCCTTTCAAAAACGCACGTTGTGTTCATTTGTTTGGGCAAGGTCTCTCCACTTCTCCGTCCTCCCTATCGACCGGCCGTCCGAAGTCACCCTGCTGAGCCTGCTGCAGTCCTGACCGGTCCTCACGGTCCAGAGCAGCCCAGCCCGGAGCGCCCCTGCGTCTCCTCAATCTGTTGCTGTATCCGTACGATTGGTCTGTCTCATCGTTCCCCGGGGGAAGAGAATTCCCACGCTGAACACAGACAGAACCCAGGACCCGAACGTCCGTGACTTTCTGAAGTTTTGCAGGGATCTCCGAGTCGCTGACGGCTCGCTTGGACTCGATGCAGCGCGGGAACGCGGTCGTCGGGATCGTTAAGGGCCGGATCCCTGAACCCCCAGGAGCGGTCACCAGGATCGCACCCCCCTGCCCGCCAGGCCGGTCAGCACGCCGTTCTGGCGGGGAGAGAGCTGATCCCTCGCCAGCTCGTGGGAGATCTCAGCACCTGGTGTTTTACAGGCTCAAGAGCAGTTCCACGGGGAACGGGGAACCAAGGCGCCTGTTGCTGATTAAACCAATGAAGGAGATTCTCGAATGAATCAGTCGGCCCTACATTTGCATAAGTAATTGACATGCTCCCGCACTTGAAGCCCAAACTGGCACGCTGGGAAAAAAAAAATCAGTTACTAATTGAAGACCCAAATAATTTTGAGCCACTGCAGTAAAAAACACAAAGCTGATTTTGCTTTCTGTACATCATAACCAAAATACCATATCCTCAGGTAATCTCCTGCAGTTTCACAAAGGTGTCTGGAGCTGGTTAAACCAATGA